ACTGGTGCATCCAACCTAAAAAAACTGGGTGCACAAAATGTTTTTTTAGGTGCACCATATAAAATAAAATGAGTAGAATGTCAGCAAAAACTAATTATGTTTCATTTCTAAAGAAAATTACTAAAACAATGATTTTATTATTTTTCCGACACTTAGATGTTAAGAATATGTTGTATACTACTATACATTTATTAGGCCACACCAATTTAATTTATTGGTTCTCGGATTCGCCTCTTCGTTTTTTTCTGATTTGCAAAAAAAAAAAATTTGATTCTGGTCCTGAATCAACTGAAAAATGCTCATGTTTTGCCCCCCAACATTTGAGGAAAGTCCTTTTCTTCCTAATTGTTACAGTTTTCCCATCTATCATTGCAGTGGTTTGATTAAAAGTTCAAAATTCAATGTTTAAATTTTAACCCAGCCTTTTGTGTTGACTTCATGGCTCATTTTGTAGCATTTAAGCCTATGATAGGATGCCTAGACCTGTTTTTATTTTTATTTTTTTTCGCCCTGTCGCTTCATATTTTTTCTGAAAAAATCCGAGAACCAACAAATTAAATTGGTGTGGCCATATAATAAAACAAATTTCCAGAGTCAATCTGGTATGAGTGCCTTCCTTCTCACAATTTTACAATGGAATGCAATTCATATAGAAACAGTTACAACTTACCGTACCAAAACCATATTATGACCTATTTTCTGAATAGTAAAAAATGCATCCTTTATGCTTGTAGTCTGTGTTATTGTCACCGCAAGTGAACCATGATCTGAGCTGTTTTGAAATTCTAATTTTTTACGGAAGCAGTCGTTCTTGACAGATATTCACAGAGCTGTAAGTGTAACCATAGCATATGATTCGCACACTGTGATGGTGAAGATTTACTAATACTAGTATGTAATATACAACACTGGTTTCTGACAGAAATATTTACCTATGTAGCAAAGATAATTTTTATTCAGAACACACAATTGAAACCAACGAGAGCCTGTGTGTGTAACGGGCACCGAAATTTCCCTCTCCGTAACACGATTTGGCGCCAACGCCATCAAACTTTTATGAGCACCAAATCCCCAGTGGACGGATTTGCAAGACATCCCATGATATAATATTAGTCCTTCTAAACTAGACTGCAACATCTAAAAAAATGTGTCCCTTTTGTAGGCATGATCACAGTGATGTCATAACTTTCCATGACAACAAATTGAGATAATTGAGATGGACAATTTGGTAGTTATTAAATTATGCAGTAATATTGCGAGATGACTGCATAGTCACATGTGGTGTAGCAATTTTATCCTTCTAAAACTGAATGTTTTCAAATGTAACATGTGCAGAGTTGCTAAGTAGCCCCTCCCCATGCCACACCCCTGTCATGACGCTTTTGTTCCCATGTGAAAAATTTTGAGGAACATTTTTTTCGCCTCGCTTCCCCTCATATGACCTCTCGGTTAATGCACAAATTCCTACCGTTCCAGAGTTTATCTGCCTGGTTTTTCCCCTTACATAACCTTACAGATGTGTTTTACGTACTGTATAACATAAGCTTGTACTGATAACGCAGGAATTTCCTTCCTTTTATCGTAAAAAAAAATATGTTGACCGTAGAGCTAGCTAGGGTCGCATCAGTACCAGGGCACATCTGTGCGTGTTTACCACAGATAGACCACATTTACGCACGAAAATCACACTTACCTGACACCACCAGGGCCTCGTTCGGCCCCACTGTGTTTATGTTTCCCATCTTTGGTCCCTTTTGGGGGGCAAACGTTGAGTTTTAGCGTCCACAGGCCGAACGAACTACACTACAACTATGCAGATGACCGGACAAGCGTCTTGTTTTCCTCCGCCCACAAAAAACATTCAAGATGGCTTCGCCTGGGAAGTCACGTGATTGAGCGACTTACCCTAAACAGCGACCTCTGTTGGACAGTTTGTGAACTGCATGAAAGAGATATTTTTATGCACATGTAAGGTTTATACCATATGACAGGTATGGCAAGCGAGCCTATGTACGACCTTAGTCCCAGTGTTTCGTGTTAAGCTCGTTTTTGCCAACCTCAGTCCGTCAGTCCCTGATTTGTATACTTTTCAAGGTCAAGCCTTGTCCATTCTCCTCATGATAAACTAACTTAGATATACAAAATGTATACACGATGCAATTAGCTGGATGTCCTTAGATGACCTATGTCGGTATTATATCAAAGACTGTATGGATATTAGAAACTCCTTCAACGTCTGTCAGACGTTGTCAACGATTGTATAAGTTGATACCTATCTCACACTAGCCACCCACTTTTGTATTAGATTAGCCTTATGAAAATGTAGTTTGACATGTACTTACTTAAGTTAGTAGACGCCATACTTTGTACACTGTCCAATTGTTGCGCGTTATTATTATTATTATTATTATTATTATTATTATTATTATTATTATTATTATTATTATTATTATTATTATTATTATTATTATTATTATTATTATTATTATTATTATTATTATTATTGTTATTGTTGTTGTTGTTGTTGTTGTTGTTGTTGTTATTATTATTATTGTTGTTGTTGTTGTTGTTGTTGTTGTTATTATTATTATTATTATTATTATTATTATTATTATCATTATTATTATCATTATTATTATTATAAAGGGTCGACCGTCTTGATTAGACATGTGCTTTGACTTTTACGTGGACCGAGGTGTTTATGGACAGTCAAAGGTTGCTGATTCCCGACGAGAGGCAAGCGCCATATATCCTGGCATGCCAGACCGTCCCGGCATGACACGATACTCTCTTCGGTCGGGGAAGCCACAAGCCCCGATCCCAGATGCAGTTGACTCCCAGGATCTAATGTATCTCTCGCACCAAGGAGCTTTCAGGATTTAACTGAAGGAGTCTCAGTATATGATGAAATTTCCTGGGGGACAGGTTGGCCAAGGAGCCGAGAAGCTATCCTGCATCAACCCCCAACAGTCTGGCTACAAGAAGTTCAAAGAAACGTACAAACATGCCTGGAAAGAGTCATGATCAGTCATTTGTCAATTTATAGAACTATTTATCATAGAAAGTCAGTTTGTCCCGACACGACTCCAAGCCGTGGCGTCTGAGCTCTGCTTTGTTCATGGCCGAGAAAGAACTTGGTGACACCAAGGAACAAAACAAACAAAATCAAAAAACAAGGGGAAAGATGCGAGCATTTTACTTTTGTTAGGGGCAGGGGTTGCCAGGAACGGTTAGCCTGAGTATCAGCCTTTTAGCTTTCGTAGCGGATCTTGGGAACCGAACGAAAGCTGAAAAGGCTGATTCAGACTACGAAACGGTTAGGTCTTGATATACGAGATTTCTACCTCCATGGTCAACCGTAACCAAGGACGTTCTTGTCTGTAATAGATAAGACTAATTAAATAAATAAAGTGCAGTTTTATATATAATCTCAAATAGGAGTAAAGATGGTAGAAGATAGTAGTTTTGAATTGTTGTTTCGTCACGGATACATGTTTTATTATCTTGACAAATGTAATTCACCAAATCAATATCATAATTCCATAATAGTTTCATCAAGGACGTTCAATATGATAAAATGTTGCTGGGAAAAATACAAATACTCTGTTTACTGAGATCTTGTTGTCATCTATGGTTGTAGCCCGAAAGTATAGTTGTCAAAGTGCAAACTGTTGTGAAATTTGTTTATGAATGAATGAATGTTTATTGTTTGTATAGTTAACCTCTTGCAGTTTTAGACTCCCCACATATGGTTATTCTACTCATTTCAGTCAAAACCTGCAAATTCATCAACGTCACAGGTCGGGACTGCATCAAGTGCAACCCGGCCACAAAACATCAAGCACTTTATATCCGTCGACGTCGTTTATTTGGCAAATTCAAATGCATGCTGTATAAATTTATTACCAAGATATGCTATATATGACATGGTGTATGTTTGGACGTATGTTTGTGGTTTAGCACGTATGGAATAGGAAACCATGCTGTGTTTCCGGTTACCTGACCAACACTAGCAAAATTGGCCATTTTCTCGTGAAATTAAACCCATCAACGATAATTTAGGCATCTAAATGACTAATATTATCAGAAATAGAAAACCCTAATGATGTATAATCAAGACAGAAAATCCTAATTTTCACATGCAATAGCTCATCGCGAGGGGCATAGAGACGGCACCCAAATAAAGGTAAATCTTGGTCAAACCGAATCACCGCACACATGTACAAGGCGGAAGGACACCCGGAAGTAAGGCTCGGGCCCAAAATTAATGTTCACCCCAAACACGCCACTTCTTACATTTTCAGCCATCTTAGTAGTTAATGCCATTTGGCAGCAGATTACGAGAAATTTTTGAAATCAAACCTGAACCAGAGACACCCTTTTATCACTTTTTTTACAGCGCACTACCACGGACACCTGTCGCGGAAGAAATTGTGATCCTTCCATCTGCCCCCACTCGTAGCCCTCCCTGATCCTTCCATCTGCCCCCACTCGTAGCCCATCCTGATCCTTCCATCTGCCCCAACTCGTAGCCCTCCCTGATCCTTCCATCTGCCCCCACTCGTAGCCCTCCCTGATCCTTTGATCTGCCCCCATCGTAGCCCTCCCTGATCCTTCGATCTGCCCCAACTCGTAGCCCTCCCTGATCCTTCCATCTGCCCCCACTCGTAGCCCTCCCTGATCCTTCGATCTGCCCCCACTCGTATCC